ACAAAAATCAGGTGACATCCTACAGCTCAAGGGGACAACTGTGACATCATAAAAATTAAATGTTTGTACAACATTTTGGACAATGTTGATGGTTCTAAAGCCTCCAATGACCTCTGTTCACAAATAAATGACATGTGAGACCACACGTTATGCTTTAATAACTTACTATAATGGTGGTCTTCAGAGGTTGGCTAATAACACTGGTTTGTGCTCTTGTTTACAAAAAAATAAAACACTTTGCTGTATTATCTCATTTTCCTAGCATGACCCCTACTCCACGTACACCTGTCCAGTCCCACCAACCACTACCACGTAACTCTGTATGATGTGCAAGATGCCCAGAGTCTGTTAAGCTCCAGATGGTCATGGAAATTCTATTCTCCATGAAGCTGCCTCCTAACTTCTCACAAGGTCCTTAGGTAGACCCTGGAGAGAGGAATCCGACTGCAGCAGCCAATTCCCCTAACCAGCAAGAAGCAGCCCGAGAGGTCATTTTCCCCCAAGGGCAGTCAGATGTATTTATCAGAGGTGGCACCCACAGGCAGATAGGAAAAGGGTCTTGGAGAAGGAAAGGAAGAGGAGAACTAAAAAAAAAATCATCATCATCATTGTCATCAATCTTCTGTCCCCAGCTGGTCCTAGCCACAAGGGCAGTTCCTGACCCAACCAACTGCAAAAGGCACTTCCTCTTGTGCCAACAGACCCTCACCTCTACTCCTGGGCTAATTAAGGCTCAGAATCCACTTTTCCACAGATTTGCTGAGGAAGACAAAATAGAGCTGACTGGCCCCCTTTCTAAGTCCTGTATCCCAGCACCACCTATAGGGACACATCGAGCCCTTCAAAACCTCTTCACAACAGACACCTGTGAACGCCCCTCACTTGGGACCCCTCCTTCAGGAGCTCTGCTTCCTTTCTATTGCTCTAATAAATCTTGTGACTTTGCCCTCACCCTTGTGTCTGAGGATTTTATTCTTCGATTTCACCAAAGAACCTACCCATCCACACTCTGTGTTGCAGTATTGTACTGTACGTACAATAAAGGATAATGTAGAGGAGGCATTACTTAGAGGCACCTGCTCATGTCTATTATCCAGTGTGCTAACTGGTGAGCACACCCAGGAGAGCGAGGAGTGCTCAGAGCCCAGCTCTAGTCCCCTTTGCTGTGGGGAAGGGCCACTGGTGGTCTCCACAGCTGTCCTCTACTACTTGTTCGTTTTTAAGTGTAATTCCCTGTGGCAGCTGCCACCTTCTCACATTCAGAGAGAACCTCGTGATCTCAGCTGGAAGCTGAGTGTGGACAGGTGGGGAAGCTGAGAGGCGGGAGGTAAAGGGATGGGGAGCCGCTGATCCCGCCCTTCTCCCTCTGCCCTGGGGTCTGCAGCACGGACTGCTGGTGTGACCTACATTCCTGCTCATCCCACTCAGGAGTGGGGCCTGGGCCACCGCTGGACTCCTTCCAGCAGGACAATCCATCAGGGACAAGAAGCTCTTTCTGGCTCCAGCCCTCTGGGGTCTTTGTCTCTCCTGCATTGCTCTAACACAATCACTGAATACCTCTGGGTTTCCAGCTCTTAGGGGGCCTTTCATGTTGCATTATAATTTTGGATGTATAAGTAACTTATTTTCCTGCCAGACTGCAAAAAAAAAAAGAAAAAAAGAAAAACATATGTAGTGACTAGATTCCAACCCAGAGTCTCACAGGACATTGGCTGAGTAAATGTGGACTCAAATATGTGCACAGAGCAAAATAAATATTTGGACATTCTATGACCATGATTCTCTGAGGATTTAAGATGTCTTACCTTAAATGTGAGTTAGGGAAATGGAAGGGCCGGCACCACCTTTTCGTCTCCTGCAGCCCAATGTTTGGAGGAGGACCTTGAAGTGCATTGAATGCACAGAACATCTCCATCTGCACCCCACTCTGGGACTTTGGGAGTGTTCCATGAAAGAAATTCAAGTACAGAGGTATCTAGAGTCTCCATTCAGACTAATTTTTTAAAAAATATTTATTTCTTAGTTGTAGTTGGACACAATACCTTTATTTTATGTATGTATTTTTATGTGGTGCTGAGGATCTAACCCAGGGTCTCACACGTGCTAGGCGAATGCTCTACGGCTGAGCCACAACCCCAGCCCCTCGGACCACTTTTGACAGAATACAATGTGTAAGTCAAGGTGGGGGCAGATAAATATATGCGTGTCTGCATTACAATCCACTACACCAAACAGCTCCAGAGACTACTACTAGATCATTAGTGCTCTGCCTGACTCATTTAGTGAGCTAGATGATGATACAAATATAGCTTACTCTCTTAAAAACACTTTGAAGAATGAGTGTTTTATATATATTCAACTAGTTAAAATGTAAAATTTCATATTTAATGCTTGAATGCTTTTAGAAAATAGGATTGCTTGAATAAACAGAAGTTAAATAATTTTCTTATCATGAGTTTTCTCCAGAGAAGAATTGATGGTTCTCCAAAAATTTTCCTCAGATTAAAAAAATAATGATTACCTTTATAATTATTATAAATTTGACAATGCCACTCTTTGCTTGGCCTTGTGCATAGTCCAATCTCACTAAATAATTCAAAATTAGAACAGTGCTGTAAAAGAAGTACAAATTATAAGAAACACATGAAATATTTCATATAAATAAGCCAGAATCAGTTCATATTTAATAACAACTAATTTTAATGAATATAAAATTTTAATTGAAAATAATAAAATTTAAATAATTCAATGTAATTACAGGTCAGTGAATTAATGAAATTAAGTTTTTAAATCACTAAAATGTATTAATTGAAATTGAAAATGTGGCCTCATTTACAACAGATTATCTTGAATATATGTCCAAGATTCTTGTATGATAAGATTCTCTAGAAAGAATTATTCAGTAAATTTATTTCTACCTCAAATGACCAACAATGAAGAAACTGTGGGATTGATTTGAAGGAGTGATTTCGTTTACTACACTTTACTTTTTTATGTAAGTATACCCAAATCCTCTCTTAGATGCAAGCGATGAATAAAGAATTGATATTTAACCTTTTAAATAAAAATATGTAAATAATATTCAAAAGTACATGCCCTCTACCCGGATTTTCCACTTCTGGAAGGTTCTTTCACATGAGCTTCTATTCTATACAGATTCCTTCTGTGAAAGTTTCCATCCAAGGTGGATCTGTGTTGACTGAGTCTCTGAAAGGAAGGCCCTGAGGTTGTGGAGTGAGCAGGAGGGTGAACAGAGGGAGGGAAATCCAGACTGCCCAGTCTCTTGGAGGCTCCTGATCTGAGTGGGCGGTGGGTGAGGGGCCTGTGGGACTGCCTGCTCCCGGGAAGCCCCTGCAGGTGGGGAGTCTGCTGAGCACCCTGCCACCTCCTCAGCACTTCCCAGGACCTGCCCTACAGGAGCAGGGCCAGGACTCAGACCTGGATCAGAAAGGCTGGATCACAGACCCCCTGTAGCTGGTCACACAGAAGGAAGCACAGCTCTCTCTTGGCACGTGTGACACCTGGCAGGAAACCAGCACAAGAGTGCTCCTCGGTGGAGTCATGGACACAGAGGGCATGTTCCTGGATGTGAACGAGAGTGAAAATGGGAATTTCTTCCAGGATCCACATGGGGATCAACTAGGGATGTGGCAAGGCCACCTACTCTGTGATCTGAGCTGCTTCTTCCACATGAACATACATGCGGGAGACAGTTTCAGCAAGCTCCCTTCTCACCCCCATCCCTCCCTGGGGGATGGAGGAATCCGCAAGCCCTTCTACCCAAACTGCTTCTAGGAGCCCAGGCACTGCTTAGGGGCCACTCAGGCTATGCAGAAGTCAGGGAAGCTGACCCCAGATCAGCAGAGGCTTGACGGCAGGAGGAGGCCTCCATCTAGAAGCAGGGAAACTCACAGGACAAAGAGCAAGCCAGAGAAGTTTAGAAAATAAATGAAAGACGTGCAGGGCTGATTGAACCAGCTCATCTGGGAGGTGTCTATGGGCCCCTAAGGATGTAAAAGAAACCTGAGAGATCGCAAAAGTGCTGGAATAAAGTTAAAAATGAAAGTAGAGGCACGGTCAGCTAAAGCAAATAATGTTGACAGAACAGGGGTCCTTGAGCTCCGAGAGAGGCCACAGAGCTCTGTGTTGCAGGCTCGAACCTGCTCACCAGATTCCCAGAGGTGGAACTGGGATGGGCAGGCCACCTCAGGGCTGTGAGAAGAGCCCTTTTCAATTATGCATTCTCTAGCCCTGTCCCTTCATTAGTTCATTACTAGAACGACACACTCGCTGCAGTACACAGTGTCTGAAAAGGGGCAATCTGCTGAGTGTGTCTTTGATAACTGGATTTATTTTACTTCGCTCAGGACGCTCCCCTTGATAGACATATACACCGTGTATTAGAAAGTCATGGCGAGTTAACTGCAAGTCAATGATTCACTAGTGACTAAGAAAGACCCCTCCCCATCCCTGATCATCTCAGGGCATGGAAACCCCTGCTGTGTTGTCTGGCACCTGAAGGCGAAGGGTGAGCTCACAGACAAGGGGACCAGGGAACTCCCGCGGCCCTGCAGTGCCTGTCGGCAAACAGCGGTGCAGGAAGGACCACAGACAGCCAGGCACTCAGGAAGGAGTGAGCTGTGCGCTGACACCCAAGGTTGCACAACTTGCCAAATGAGGAGGTGGGGAGACACATTCCGGCTGCTGGGAAGATTTGCTAGTCTAGCCTGCCCAGAGCCAAGGCGTGATAAATCCTGCTACGAATGCAGAGTTGGCAAGAGGAAAGCATCTCAGGCCCCCTGAGCTATGTGCTCCAGGGCCAGACCAGCAGATAATACTTCATTCCACAATGGCTTTCTCCTGTGCAGTAAGAGGCAAGGAGGTCAACTAGGTGTAAATAAAGACTCCAGGTGTTTCCTAAGAGAGTCAGATTCTCCATGGAAACACACACACTACCAACAAATGGACCATTCAGCACAGGAAAGTGTGTTTTAGATCACCTGAGTCATGACATCAATGCTATTGACCACAGCCACTTCCTGAAGCCCAGTCTCTACAGGTTTCACCTTGTGCATGCTGGACCTAACCAAAAAATGGAGAAATTGGCTTATTAGACGTAGGCTCGGTGGTCATGCATAGAAGTATGGCCTCCTGTGTGGGGCTGGGGAGGGCAGAGCCATGGACTGCCCTAACACTCAACACCCACACCACAGAGCCCAGGCCCAGTGGGCACCAGAGACATTGACCTCTCCTGGGCTGCAGGTGCTGAAGCCTCCCAGCCAGGGCCACAGAATGTGGACACAGTGCTGTGGAGCAAGTGCMGCAGTTTCCTTGGTCATGATAGAAACTGACAAGGATGTAAAAGCTATTGGCCACACTGAGCTAGAAGAAAAACCAGGAAACCAGATGCCCCATGCACATGAAGGGGACTCTGTACTAGTCAGATCCTTCAAAACCGGTGCCTAAAGGCCAATGCATGTCATGGTGTTTTTTAATGGGCTCCACTACTGAACCATATATTACAGCACATCAGAACCTAAACCGGAAGATTCCATGAGGTAGTGTATGAGTCTACCAGAAAGAAACACAATGCCACCCTGCATGGGACACACTATTAATATTGAACCACAGACACYTCAGGAAGCATTCATTGAGCAAACTTTTGTTGGCATCACAATGTGCTCCTGTGTGTCCTGACACCAGGGTGGCCTCCCTGGGGTGACAGGGGCTGCCACTTTGAGCTGCATTATTCCAGTAGACAGCCATTGGTCTAGGCATCACACATCAGGAATGGTACAGGGCGTTAGAGACAGGAAGGGCTTTTATTCTTAAACTTCGTGTACTATCTGCTATTTACTGTCTCTTACTTCAGCATAAATCTTTCAAGAAATGCCGCATTTGAGCATCTGAGACACTTCCTCTCTTGCAGGAATGAGTCAGGAGTGGAGGATGACTTTGTCCCTTAGCCTTCCACATCTGGGGGGACTCCAGACCCTGCACAATGATGCAGGTGATGTCTACTCTCCATCCAGACTCAACCCAGCCGGGGAGTACCAAAGGAAGAGAGGAGGGGGATAGGAAAGTGGATGCACCCTACTGAGGGCCACAGGTAGGACGCTGTGTCCACAACTCAGACCAACATCATTCCCCTGGAAATACTGCAGCCCCACATTAGGCTCTTCCTCCTGTACCCCACCCCTTTATTCCAGTCCAGTGTCCACACATCGTAGAGTGCCCTGGGTGCTCACATGGGTCTTCTCATAGAGCTGCCGTCCACCTGAGACCAGGCCTGGCTTCTCTTCCAGTCCCCAGTCTGGAGCGTGCATGAGGCTAGGTGCTCAGGTGCTCRGCTCAGTTGGCATCCAGTCATGTGRATTGTTCAGTGTTCAAAAATCTCCAGAATTAATAAAGTGTACTCAAAATAGTGATTATGACCTTCCAAAACATAAAAATAGTAAAGATTTTGAAATACTAAATGCTAGTGTTTTGAGATTTCTTTCATTTTAAATTGCTTTTGGCAGACACTGTTTACATAAAACACATGTACGRTACAAGCCATTCAAAACGTCTTGTGAAAGGCAGCAGCCATTGGCATGGCAAGGATGCCTAGTGGGGAGTATTTCTCTGTGCTCCGGAGGCCCACGGTACCTTCGCATTTCCCCAGGACACGTTGGCACCTGTCAGCATTGGGATAGTTTTATTAAGAGTTTATGGCCCAAAACACTTAACATTTTTCAATTTGGCAAAAGTGTGAGAGAATAATTGAATCCGTGTGGGAGAGAATTTTGCCCTTATTGTATTGAAGATACTTTATCTTTTACAGAGGCCCTACCATGGCCCAAAGTGCAGCTGTACCAAGTGCATGTGGCTGAATAGCAGCTCATCTCCTTCCCATGCTGAGTGATGTGCTCTGGCTTCAGTGCTCTGGGGGGAAACACTCAGGAACAGAGTCCAGGGAAGCAGGCCACATGGTCCCACCTGTCACAGTGGTGAAGTGGCAGGTGCTGAGGGCCAGGGCACCCTGCATACACCTGTGGTCAAGCATGTGAGCAACAGGGCAAGGTGGTCAGACCCCGAGGTGGTCAGACCACAGCAGCTATTCAGCTATCCTGGCTGCACTGGGAGGCTAGGAGTCTCCAGAAGGAGACCCTGGGACAGTCCAATTTAGAGACCAAGGCTCAGACCCCACTTACTGTAAAATTAGCAATATTCCTAGCTGAGAAAAGAAAACGGCTCTGTCAGAAACCACAGGAGTGCTAGACATTTGTGGAAGGCAAGCAAACAGGAATTCTAAAAAATAACTGGATTCCTTCAGGGCTTATCTTCTCTAGAACACAGTTTAAAATACAAGAAACAYTGTCCCTTCACTGCCTCCCAAAGAAAAAGGAGACCAAGGAAACCAAGTGGTATGAGGACAAATGAGAATTGGAAATGGCTGATTGGCATTTCCTTGTTCTCCTCCCTCTGGGTGGAGAAATCCCAACTTCATCCTTGAGACCAATATGCTGGTGGCCCACCCTGTGGCTCTCTCTGCCTGGGGACTTCCCCTGAGTTTCCTGGTCCAGGGCTAAGGAGCCCTAAGGAGGCCAGACAGGAACAGAGAGCCCAGGCTCACTGTGCACACAGGCAGAGGCAGCCTTAGGTTTTAGCCTGTTTTCTAACCCTCTGCACCTGCCCTGAGCTGCTATTTCTGCATACTCGCATTGATCTCTTTTAGGGAGGAGCCTTCCTTCCTTCTCTGCCCACTGTCCCACGCACCTGGGGCTATCCTTTCTCTTCTACAGCTTAACAGTTYCTGGCTCTGGAAGGGTTCTGTGTTCTACCACGTTGCATCATTGCATATGTGTGTTTGTAGATCCCACTGAGGTGAATGCGTATCGGGAATGTCTCTGTGTCTTCATAGAACACAGCAGAGTACCTGCCGCATAAAAACCTGCCAGTAATATTTGCTAAATACATGGTTTAAGCATTAATTAATCCATTGACGTGACAGAGAACAAACAGAATGTATGCCTGCATTTATCTGCCTGTTATTTTATCATTAAAGTTTTTTTTTTCCCCCATAGGTAGTGATTGTCTTTTTCTAGTGTAGCTAAGCTCAGAAGGAAAATGTACTACATTAATAACCACCAAAAATTCTTTGAGAGTTAGTTAGTTTTTGCTCATCAAATAAAAACTATTTTTATTCATTCTAATCTGAAAATAGATGATAGTATATTTTGATTGGAGGAAGGGTAAAGATGGAGCGGTTGACCCAATAAAAAAGCAAATGGAGAAAGGGGCAAGAAGCGATTCAAGCACTGTCTATGCTGCAAGAAGGAAAACACGTCATGTACATACATGGGCCCAYATGCACATGACAACCCTATTAATCACTATTAATCTGACAAAGAACTTCAAACAATCAGCRTACAATAACATCGTATTTATATGTTTATGGTACTGGGGATTGAACCCAAGGGCATTCTACTATTGAGCTACATTCCAGCCCTTTATTTTTTGAGCCAGTGTCTCACTAAATTGCTAAGGCTGGCCTTGAACTTGTCATCCTCCTGCCTCAGCCTCTCAAGTCCTGGAGATTACAGGTGTGTGCCACAATGCTCAGCTCAATGGCATTACATGTTAAGGTGACAGCAAATGTCATCTACATTTCATAAATATCCTCAGAATTCAATGCACTTAATATAAAGTTACTTCCCAGTTGAGAGCGAGTGAGACAGCATGAGATCCTGACTTTGTGTTTGATGAAGCTAAGGACCATTCCCGGGGCTGGGATCTTGCTGACSAGACCTAGGACAACAGAAGCATGATCTCAACTTTTCTTTGGACAGGTCCTTCATGCAAACAGCAAGAGTCTAGGGTCTGGGTGAAACACCGTCCTGAGACATTGAATTTAGTATTTATTCTTTTTCTACATGAAACAAAATGTTTAGGAGAGGAAATTATGAAAACTAAGAATCCTAGCCAAGTACAACTTTTTTGAAGTCTCTACATACTAAATATTAGTTAAGTAAGATTTTTACGTAAAGTAGAATTCAGTGAATTTCAAATTGATTAAAGTAGATTTGGATTTTCTTAAATTAGCAGATATTTCTCAGAGAACTTAATACTGTCATTAAATTTTACATTTGTTTCTTTTTCTCTTCATAAATTACAATTTTAATTTAAAATGTTTACATCTATAGAATGTATTTTAAAAGATTTCTTTTGGGGCAGATTACTTATAGTGAATGCCAGAGAAACTATCTTAACAGTATTAACCATCTTAATAGAATTAAATTCTCTGGGAAATATTTATCAGTCTAAGAAGTATTATTTTTGTACCCAAACCTACATTAATTTAACAATTGATTTGAAATTCCCTGAATCATCAATTAACCTATCCATTGATTCATTGATTYACCCTGAACCTACTGTGTGCATAAGTGAAAAACCATCGTCTAACATTAGACAGCACACAATTTTGATAAAGCTTCATGTTATAGTTTGAAGTCTTGATTGAATGAACTGTCCCCTGTGAACAGAAGTCATAAAACCGGGTATGCGTGTGAGCCAGTTCTGGAAGAGCCAGACAAGGCCCATCATAGACGTGCACAGAGGGTTTTCTTAAGGCCAGGGTAGTACAGCCAGACAAGTCTTCCAAGAGAGTGAAGAAGGAAACAAGGGAAGGGCTCCATGCTTGCTGGAGATGGCAAGGGGGGAGCTTCGCTGGTGCAGGGGGAATAACATGTGCAGTGAGGGCGTGGTCAGGGCACAGGGACAGGAAGCACACCGTGACCAGGACCTTTGTCCCTGAGGGAGGTTGGCTTCTACTCTATAATGGGGATCTAGACAGAGGAATGTAAAGTGAGGACAACAGAAAATTCAATTTATATTTTAGAAAGAAATCTTTCCTGGAGATGCGTCCTAACACAGAGCTCTGTTAGAGGAACAAGATGGGTTCACTGCTACCAATCAAGTGTGGCAACTTACACTGCACCCTGCAGGAACTATTGCGCCTGTGAAATGAGATACTGTGATGGATTTTGTAAACAAATATCACCCACGTGAACTTGAAATTTCAGAGTAATTGTGA